AGCCATTTTTTGAAATCCGGCATTTCTTCACCTAAAGCAGAGAGTTGAAAAAGTAGTTCTGGGGATGTTCCTGGGAGCATGAGTCTACTTGCCCTTTCACCTTACTATGATAAACATATATATATCTCTATCTATCTATCTATCTATCTATCTATCTATCTATCTATCTATCTATATATTTGATAAGCATATATATTAATATCAAGATAGAATCACGTGAAAGCAATAGAACTTGGGATTCTAAAAGGGGTGACATCGAAAACTTTTAAAAACTGACTTTAACTGTGGGATCTCTCACACCCTTTTCACTATCTTTGGTTTCTTTCCTGCTGTTACTCTTCTCTCTGCGGAAACGTCTCAAGAACACGAAGCTCAGTGCAGTAAGATTCAGAGACCCCAGCACAGAGACCCATAGAAAGCCATGAAAATTATGATCTCTTTCTTTTTACTACTAGGCGTTTACTCTCTGAGTCTTCTCCTAATAGCTTTGGCGCCTAGTATGAGTGAAAACCAATTGTTTTTAACTTTTGCTTGGCTTTTGCAATCACTTACCCTTTGATTCACTCACTTATTCTGATTCTGGGAAATAGAAAGCTAAGAAAGGCTCTTGGTGCTGTGGCAATTGAGGTGCAGTTGAAAATTAGGAAAATTTTTACTCCACAAATAATTCTAGTGAGAATCTTATCTAACTAAGAAGAAAATAAAAAAGGTTATTAAAGAATCTTTGTATGCTGTTTTACCCCTGCTTTGGTTCTTCTTTAATGTATGATAGTGAAGATATTTCTAATCTTATCATGATAAACATATCTATTAATCTATAAATATAGGATGTTTTTAAAATCCAGGCTTATTAGATGTTAGTAGTGTACATACGAGGCTAAACCAAAACGTGAAGCCAAGTCAAAACGTAGGAGGCTTGATGGCTTCGTGGATGATGCATCGGCCTGCTGATCAAGGTCGGCAGTGCAAGACCGTCAGCAGCTACACTGGAGAAGGATGAGGCCTTGGTACTCCGGTAAATATTGACAGTCTAGGAACCTCTTAGAGGCTACGCTGCTCTGTGGTACAGAATCCCTCCAAGACAGGATCAACTCGACGGCAGTGAGGCTTTTTCTTTTGAAGTCAAAATGTATTGCTATGAGGTTTCCAGTCACACATGCAAATGAAAACCCATTTGAACATATCTCTGTGATCAGTGAAATGGCTGAAGACAAGTTCGCTCAGTAATGCACTTCTTTTAGTTTCATTAGGAGCCTTCAAAAGAAAATTCTGATTAAAGCACTGGCTTCCAAGGGGTTCTGGCGGGTCAGTTAAAGTAAAGGAAGAAGTCAACACAGAAGATGATCACTTTGGGGGATTCCCAAAGGGTGACCTTGATAGATTTTCTTGAAGGACACAGGATGGCCATGAAGACTTATTACAAAATGTTTTAAGGCATCATCAGAACAAAAAA